AAAGGGGGGTTACAGCAGAAATACACAGAGATACCTTTTTTTTAAATTAAAAGATTGTTTATATTATGGGAGAGAGAGAGAGAACAAGCGGTGGGAGGGGCAGAGGGAGAAGGAGAATCTCAAGCAGACCCCATGCTAAGCACAGAGCTGGATGTGGGGCTCGGTCTCAGGACCCCGAATCACGACCTGAGCTGCACGGGGACATCTGTATTTAAAAATTATATTAAAAGACATCAGGAACTAGTATACAGTGAGAATATACACAGTTAGTATATGCTAAGTTGTATGTAACCATATAGAAATAAACTGTAAGGAATATTAGTTAGGAAAAAGTTACTGAAGTGTGGGAAGCACTGGGCAGATGTGTACTTGCTGAAGCTTCCGGGTAATTTTTGCAGCATCATTGATAGTTAGAGCTGTAATTTACATTAGCAGTAATGTAAATGTAAATTTAGAATAAATTGTAAAGTGAGTTTCAAGAGGCACCAGATCCATTGGATAATGCAACAGAGATTACAAGGAGAAGTCCTTCCGCGGTCAGATGATTTGGGGAAATGCGGGGTTGAGCAGAGCTGACTCGGTTTCTTTCCTGGTAGACTCTTCTGTTGCATTTTCCATGTGGGTATGATTGCAAAACTCTTTTAAGTAGAGTATCTTTGGGGACAAGTGTTCTGTGGAATGCACTTTGGGAATGCTGTTTTATTCCAACCTTTTCATTTTCTAGATGAGAGAATTGAGGGTATCGGTGGTCAAATGATTTGCTAAGTTTCTGTAGACCATGAACCTGAATGCAAGCCTGGATGTTTGACACTGTCTGATGTCTTGTCTCTTACACTGTATTGTCCCATAGATTTCACACGAGCAGTGTTGGACAGACAAGGTTTTTGTTCCTAGAGTCTGCAAGGAGGAAGATACTACACACATGCTTTGGGAATCAGTTATCCAGAGTTTAACACCCTTCAGGGCCTGTAATTCAAGTTCTGGGACACCCCATGAGTTACTAAATTTATGAGACTTGGTTTTTTATCCAGTGCCTACTGGGCGGTATAAAAGGGTGAATCTACTGAAGCTCAAAATACAGCATCACCACACACGAGCTGTGTGGCTCTGGGATGAGTCACTTGGCTTCTCTGAGTCTCAGACTTGTGTCCCTCCAAGAGGGATTAATGCCTTGCATAGTTTGGGTGACATTACATATATCTGAAGCGCCTCTCTTCATTCCCTAGATGGGCCTGATTTCTGTTCCTTGACAATGCTCGAATGAGATTTCAGTCATCGTTGGGTAGTTCTGTCGCCATTGATCATAGTCCTTTCATTGGAGGACATGGCAAAATTCCTTGTTCAGATTTTGCTCATGGAAACCACCTCTCCTGCTTCTTCTTTTCTTGGCGTCTGGCTCTTGGGTCTCTGATGAGCCATGTGAGTCGTCATGGACTGACCTCTGCTGGCACCCGCCATGTCCTATTCCTGCACCTGCTCGCCACTCCTCCGTATTGAATCAGTCATTTTTCCTCTATCAGGGCTGATACAAGAATTGCAGAGAGGTCCCAGCTTCTTTGCCTGCAGTTGTGACAGTTTCCGATTTTTAAGTAAGAAGTCTTTGCTGCTTCTGTGTTTTGCCTCTCCTAGCTATTTCTGTTCCCATGTGCTGCTGCAGAGATCCTTGTGCAGGGTGCAATTGCCACTTTCTTGCATTCCCGCAAGCGCCTAGGTTGGTGCCTGTCGGAAAATCCTTTCTTCGCTCTGGCAGAAAGGATTTTTACAGACTGCCATCCCTTTTGGCAGGGGGAGAATGACTTCTGAACCGAGTGCTGCTTGAAAGGGGCACTCCCTCATCACTTATGACTGTACTCAGTGGTTACAGCTTGTGACACATTTTCAAATGGACCCCCCAGTGGTTGCAGCTGTGATTAAAAGCTGTCTGCTCTCTGCCTCACTGGGGGTTTGCTGTTTAACCATGTCATGCACATATAGATGTGGGCTACAGCTGCATCACGGAAAACGTAAAGTGTTTTGTAAGATGAAAAATCAAATGAGTACCTGGATGACAAACTCCTGAATTTCCTAAGCTCGAGTCACTGGGAGGCACTACTTGGGAACCTAGCCATGTATGAGGTACATAAAAGTAATTGAAGGAAGAAGAGCTAATGATCAGTGAATATATACCATCTGCCCATACATGCTTTGCACACATCAGCCAGACTGAGCATCTTGAAGATTTAAGTGCACTTGAACTTAGCAGCTACATTTCGGCCCCTCTGCGTGCTTCAGGATTCAGTTCGACCATTCACAGATAAAACAAGAAGAAAATAGTCTTTGTTTTGGGGAAGACTACCCAGATATTCTCCGATACCATGTTTGGTTGATCCTGGGTTTTGAATGCCATTCTAAACATGAGTTTGCCATGAACGCTGTCTTAAAAAAATGCTCAAATGAGCCGTGCAGCCTCAGAGATAGGGTGTGTCAAAGGCACGGGCCACAACCCTTCCTCTAGATTAGGGAGACTGAGTAGTCAACCTTTGGTAAGGTAAAAATGTACTAGAATTTAAACCTGGGCTCTTTACTTCACGTGAGGGGTACACTTACCAAAAGCGTGAGGCAAAACAGGGTTCCCTTCCCTCCCCACCCTGCTCCACTAACTGACTCAGAAGAATCCAAACGCGCATTTTCTTAGACGCCTAGGAAAGAAATTGGGGGAAAATCTGAGAATTTCATGTCTCCTTTCCCCTGGGCCTGCTTCCCCCACCCCCAAAAGTCAAGCGCTCCCAACCTCAGTGACCAAACACAGTCAATGAAATGCTAATCTATCACCAGCAAATTTAGGCTGACAATACCATGAATCGACCACATTGATGACATTGATTATATTTCAAATATTTACAATATGGTGAGACAAGCCTAATTTATTTTCTAAAGAGTTCAAGGTAGGTATCATGGATCCAGAGGGGGGAAACAATGGAGAAATGTTTGTGGTTGCTATCTGCGATAATCTGATGCTGACAGAGAGTAGTATTTTATTTAGTAATTAACAGTGTGAAGGGGAAAGGAGCTGTCATGTTGGTTCTTAAGCTGGGGAATGTGATGAAAGATGATATCTACGATCTCATCCTTTCCACTTGTTTAGGATTGTCAGGATGAGAAATGTCAGCATTATGAAAGCCCGGCTCTGCTCTTGATATGATAAAACCCTTCAAAAGCCAGTCTTTCTCTCCCTCATCCCCCTCCTTTCCCACTCTCTCTCTCTCTCTGCACTTGCTTTTTTATTTATCCTGTTTTGTTAGATGGCAGAAATATAATTCTTTTCTTTCTTCCTATTATAAGCCACCATTTTTGTTTTATTATATGTTTCACAACCTCTAATGCCCCACTGAAAATTACCTTGTTACATGACAGTGTTTCGAAGCCATGAATCCTTTCCACCATTCCCTCAGAGGTTTGAAACAGTCAACAGACTGTAAAGAATAAATAATAAAAAAGTATTGATTATTTTGATGACTGTGAGATTCAATTAAGTATTAATTTTGCCCTCCAGTGGACCTATCAAGGTATTCAAAAGGGAGGATTCGGCTCAGCTAAATGCGTGCTGAGTGCTTCAGCCTTAAATAGGGAGAAAATGTGTTTACCTACAGTATTTGAAGAAGAAGTGCACTGATGCACAGAGTCCAATATTTAAGTGCTGTGCACATTAAGCCCTGGTGACAGTGACATTGTTTTCAGTGGTATGAGTATTGACTAAAGAAGTGCATTTGATGACAGCTTAAACTATTTGTATTGATTAACATTTTCATAGATTATCATGTGTCATATCAAATTCACTTTTCAGGCATGAATACATTAAAAAAAAAAATAACCACAGGCATACCGCAACCAATGTAACGATGGGACAAGAGAGCATGCCGCCCCACCTGCTCTTGTGCTGGTCACCTGTTTCCTGCTCAGAAACCACTTAGGCATGAACTTGGCAATAAATAGCTCCCAGATAACGCAAAAGGGGCGCTTCTTGCTTTCCTTCTCCTTCTGCAGCCGGTGTTTGTGCCAAAACAATATCATGCATCTGAGTTTGCAAATGGAATAGCAGGCTCTCCTTGGGAAATATTTCTGATCCTAAGACGCCCTCCTAATGAGCTGAAGATAAAGCAGATTCAAATTATTGGGAAGGGGGGGAAGTTTGCCCTTTTTGGAGGTGATTTTTTGCTTTCTTTTTCTCTCATGCTCTGGGCGTATGATGCTCTGGTTATCGGAATTATTGAACACAGTTTGTAAGTATTTTTCCAATTCCTTAAAAAAATTTTTTTTGAACCAATTTTCATCTATTTTGCTGTGTATTGTTTGCTTTAACACATTCATTGGCTTTGGGGTCAGGCGCAGTCCCAAATCTGAGAGCACCGAAGTCAACTTCTAAGGGTGCTGATGGAATTTACATGAGAAATCTCTTTTATTCCATTGAAAGCCTTTCGAGGACTCTTTTCTCCCTATCTCTTTTCTCTGCTCTGGGGATAGGGTTTAATTGCTTCTCCCCCAGGGAGAGTGCTTCTTAAAATAGCCCGTGGTTCCTCCATAGGGTGCTCCTTCCTTTTTAGTGTGTTGCCGAAGTACAAACCCAGCACTTTCTTTTTTCTTACTGCATTAAAGACCGAACAAGGTGTAAAAACATTCGCACAAAAAAGCACATCCCACAATTAAAGCTGTGTTGGTTAGGTGGCTTTCAAAGAAGTTTTTTCGCCCCCCCCCCTTCTTCCCTCCGAAGCTTCCTGAATCTCTCACATGCTAGTTGAGCTTTAATAGGGTGGGGAGTAATGGAGAACTCCTCGGATCTGTAATAGCTCTTCACTTGACTGCAGCCAGCAATAACAGCGGGAGCAGATAAGAGAGAGAGGAGAGAGGGAGAGTGTGTGTGTGGAAGAGAGAGAGAGAGAGGAGAGAGGGAGAGGGAGAGAGGACACGCACACTAAAGCTGCCACTTTTTTTTTCCTCCCCTTCACTCTTTTCCCCCATCCCAGGATCCAATGATAGCTGGACAAGTCAGTAAGCCCTTGCTGTCAGCGCGGAGTGAAATGAATGCGGAGTTGAGAGGTGAGGACAAGGCTGCTACTTCAGACAGCGAGCTGAATGAGCCCCTGCTTGAGCCTGTGGAATCAAATGACAGCGAGGACACTCCCAGCAAGCTCTTCGGTAAGTCTGTCTAGGTATTTCATTTCAGCCCTACCATGTTGTCCGGAAGAGCAATCCACAACCCCCCCCGCCACCCTTTCCCTGTCGTTCATTCAATTTTCTTGTAAGTGCTAAAGAGGAGCTTCGCATCTTGGAGGGGCCCCACCGGAGCCCATTCCAGCTGGCTAGCAGGATGTCCTCCAAACTTTTCCCAGCAAGGAACTTCCTCGCTGCTCCTTGGGGCTTGTCTGATATTGTCAGAGTCCCCAGGGCTAGAAATTATTAAAAAAAAAAAAAAAAAAAAAAAGGAAGAAGAAGAAAAAGAAGAAGAAGATGGTAATAATAATCAGGAAATCATTTCCATTGTGAGAATTGGTTAACATTTATTGAATAAATATCGACTTGGTTTCGGGTTGCTTTGCAGCCTTTTGTTAAGGGGAAGGAGAGTAAAGAGTTATTATCTGTAGTCAAAAGACGGAAGAGGGAACTGAGAAATATCAATACGAGTCTCTCTGTGCCAGGTAAACAAAGGTGGCTACGGGGATTGCTCAGAGAAATGACATTTTTGTAATCACAATTAGAGTGGGCATCTCTCCTTCTAACAGGGGGACGGGGAAAGAAAAGAGGTCCTTTGCGTCCCTCCCCTACCCCTCTTCCCTTGACCAGATGTTTATAGGCTCTTCCTAAATGTGGAGGCAGCCCAGGACCTTTCAGGAATCTTTGTTCCATAAACAAAACAAGAGCGAGCAGAGTGCCACTCCAGCAGAGACATCTGTCATTCAAGCAGATGACACTCTGTAAGCCAACTCAAGCAACTGTGATCTCTAATCAGAAAGGGGAGCGGGTTGTTGAGGCGCGTGACTGACTGATGGATGGTGATAGATGTCTGTGCTGGAGAAGCACTTTATGGGATAGAGTGACATTAGGTTTTCAGAACACTTGCTCCCGAAACACTTGCTTTTAATTATTTTCCAGTGTTTATATACTTACAACACTGAATATATGTATGTACATACTAACCTGTTTATACCTATATATACTAACCTGATATATACACGTGATTTTATATGCATATATCAGGCAGAACACTGCTGGGTCGCAGGTTAAAAACACAGCCGTGTGCCTGAATGTCAAAGAAACACCACACCACCGCATAGACTGCTTTGTCAAGAAAGTCATTAATTCAGCTAAAAAAAAAATAAGCTTAATTTTTTTTTTAGCCTCCAGGAAGAAAGCAGCTTCGATAGTTTGGCAACTCTAGGTCAGCTTCAACAGAGGAAGCTTTCCTCTGATTTGAAATGTTCACTCAGTCAAACACTGAGGGGTGTTGCTGAGAAACTTTCTGTTTCAGATCTTCTGTTGGTAAAATACACCTTTACAGTTAAGAGTATAATAGATCCCAGTTTCAAGAAATTCTGTCATATTATGCTTTTTTCAAAAAGCAGCAATTCTACCTGGCACATAGATTTTTCTTTTCTTTTCTTTTCTTTTTTATACCTAGGCATTAAGGTTTTAGCATTTGGACTCTAAAGGAATATTTTGTTGCAGTTTCAGTTTTTATGTGTGTAGGGAGAGTCATGTCCTAGAACACTCATTTCCTTTCAGGGGGTTAGTGAGAGAAGTCAGATAAAATTATAAATTACAGAAAGGCAAAACCATGCTCCAGTCTCTCTGATGTTGGGGATGCATTAATACAAAGCATTTTGACTTTTAAAAAGTAATCAACTGTGAATTCAACAGAATCGCGGATAATGGATTACTTGCTCCTAAACTTTGCATGCAATTTAAAAAAGTAAATGCATTTTGTAGACTTTCACTTATAACCCCAACTTGGTTTTTTTTTCCTTTCTTCAAGTAAACCAATAGAGGGGTGATTAGTTTGGCTTCTCAACATTTGTTTAGATTTCCCACTGTTGAAAATTGTTATAGAATCTATTATGTCACTCTTACTGATTTGCATGCACAGAGACATAAGCTTTAAAAAAACAAAACCCAAGAGGGTCAGAGAGGTTTGAATTACAAGTTCATTGAAAATATATCTGAAGTGGAATATTTATGGGGTAAACTAAGGAATCAGAGTTTAGTGTAGAAATCGCAGTGGGTGTTAGAAGGTGCTCATCTTCACTTGAAAATTCTCAACTTCTGAATTTGTGAGAGGACACTGGGCAAAATCTCCATCTTACATCTGATATTCCTTATGTATTCGCTTAATTTTATTTGGCCTCTAGAGTGCTTTTTGAACACAGTGTGAATATTTTCCAGTTTCTGATTAGGTGAAGAAGCAACCAGGAGATGAGCAGTTTCGAAAACTTGAGGCAAAAGGGGGAGACAATAGGAGGCAGAGGGACTGGAATGTCCATCAAAAGAAGCACCCAATGTTCTTTGAGGCTTCTTTAGCTATTGGGTCTATTGTGCTCTATCCTGTTAATATCACCGGGACTTAGCCTTAGAAATCCCAGTTTGCATAACTGACTAAAACTTTTTAGAATAATTCCCTCCCGGGATTTTTAGCAACTTTGGCCACACCTAATGGGTGACAGTTTAATGGACCATCATTTTATTTGACATGAATACGCTCAAGTGTTTTTGTTCTTATACGTGGTTTTCATTACACTCTTTGCCTGACAATGAAGAATTACCTTTTTCCAGAATAACTGAGAGCATCCAGGTTTATCTGTCAACCATGATTTCCTAACACACTCTCTCTGACCATCATCCTCATGACATGCGCATTGCATTCTTGAAAACTGCTTTCCTAATGAAAGGAGCAGATTAAGACAATTGTGTGCATCTTGATGTGTTTACTTTTGTGGAGAGACATTTAGCAACAACAGGAGGCAAGAAGAGCTCAGTTTGTTTTTATTTTTTTGCTGCACCTGAGATTTCAGTACTGATGGATTTCTTTGGAGATTATTCCCCCTTCTGTATCTTGTTGAAATTAGCAGTCCAGAGCACAGGTCTGTTTCTGTCACAGTGTGGGCACCTTCAGCCCAAAACTGCAGGAGAAAGGCTAATACTGATGCCCTCTATGGATAAACAAAGGAAATTCCAGGAACCGTTGGGTCTTTTATGCCTCTCCTGAAATTGCACCTCTGCTCTTTTTTTTTTTTTTTTTTTAAAGATTTTATTTATTTGAAGAGAGAGACACAGCAAGAGAGGGAACACAAGCAGGGGGAGTGGCAGAGGGAGAAGCAGGCTCCCTGCCAAGCAGGGAGCCCGACATGGGGCTCGATCCCAGGACACTGGGATCATGACCTGAGCCGAAGGCAGACGCTTAACAACTGAGCCACCCAGGCGCCTCTGCTCTTAACAGCATCCAAAGGGAAACATACTGTCCAGAATGTTTCAGTGCTCCGTGCAGCTCAGAGTATCAGAAGGAGCAAACCAGGAGCCATATACCAGCCTCAGTAGAAAGTTCAGGAAAGGGCCCTTGTGTTTTATAAAGTAATTACATCTGAGGTAACATTTTGCTTAACTTGAACAGCTAGGGAAACTCAAGTACACTCAGGAAAGATGAATCCACATTTCATTGAGAAACGTGTGGTGAGGTAGTTCTCTGTGATATCATTAAGTGGTGCATTATTTATTCTTGGAAAGCCTGTAGAATGACTGTCTCTTTTCGGTCTGTGACTGTATTTTGCTAAGCTCTGAGCTGTGGGAAACAGTATGGAGGAGAACAGACTTGCGTGTCGGGAGGTATTATCAGAGAATTTGGCTCTGCGTCTCCCTGGGTTTTGGGTGCAGGATTAAATGAGCGATGCCACACGGGGCCAGCCATTTAATATGTGACTAGTGATGTACATATCCGAAACCATTCTCAAAACTGGCCTTTGGCAAACAATCTCAAAAGGAAGAGGTTGCTGTGTTTCTCGGGTGACATTTATTACACCCATGTCAATGTGGTGCTTCATTTTTAGTTATGCTCGTCAAGAATTCAGTGGTCCCCATTCCGTCAAGTTGGATGCTAAAATTCAAATGGTAGAGCATCAACAACTTGGTTGGGAAGATGGCCACAGGAAGGATAAAAGTAATATATATCCCCAGAAAAATATCTGTACTAAAGTTTTCCCATGCAGTCTCGGCTGAAGAAGTGAGAGCGCATAAAACGGGCCCTAAATATTTTCTCCCAGATATATTTGAAATTTGAAAGATGATTTATTAACCGTGTTCCTCCTGGGAGTATTTTTATTGTTTCAAGATAAACCTCATGATTGCTTTTCTTAAAGTCCCAACGACCTCGGGTGGCTGGGCTCCTCTGTGGCTCAGCTGCTCGATTGTACCCCACTGTATGTGAGTTGGGCACACAGCCTCAGAGCCCTGAGCTGGGATGTAAACAAAAAACCATTTATACACATGGGACCCGACGTAAAGAGTGCTGGCTGGTTTTCTGTCATGCTACTGTGTTTTTCTGGGTTAAAAGAAATTGCATATCATGATACTTGTAAGCGTGGGTGTTTTCAATATCATTTATCTGTGAACTTTCGGAAAAGGGTTGAAAGTTGGGTCAGTGATTCTTCCTTGCTGGAAAAGGTACCATCTGTAGGGTGTTTTCTTTTTCCTTCCCTTCCTGTTATCTTTCTCACAGAAACATGCATTCTAAGATTTTTTTTTTTTTTTTAAATCGCCATCCAGTTTGACTTGATGAGAATTTATGGCGGTGGAGTCGTTTTCAATGACAAAAGGATAAAGGATTAAATTGTCACCCCTTGAGACAGTGGTCTCTGTAGGTAGGGCATGGAGGTCATTGGTAGGGCATTATGGGGCCTGCACCTTGTGGTCAGGCTGCCTGTAAACGAGCGGAGGCCTTCATTATGGCATCACTGTATGACTTTATTGAAACCTCTTTCTCAAGGTTCCAATGCCTCAGATATTTATAATATTCTGATGAAATATGCTGGGGCCAGTAATCAGGATGTTGGGCTTAAGCCCAAGAAGGATTTAACTGGCAGGTGATGAGGAATATTCCCTAGAGAAATATATTTATTTACAATATCCATCATGCTTCTATATTTTTATGAGTT